TCACTGTCTGTCTCTGTCTTTGTGGCAAGCGCATGCGCTCTATAGCAAAAACTTCTCCCCCTCCCCCCCCAAAAAAAGAATATAGCAGGTCAGGACCAGCAGTTGGCATAATGGTTATGTCACTGGACTCCCATGTAGTCAACCACAGTTCAAGTCCTGGACCCGGTGGCTTACACTCATGCCAGGCATGTGTGCTTACATGCCCAAGATCCCGAAAGAAGAATGGAGGAGAAGGGATTGCGGCGTGGCCATCACCCCTAAGGGGTGATTTCTCGCTTTCTGTCTCTCTGTCTTTCTGGCAAGCTTATAAAATAGCAGGTCTTGGGGCCAGGAGGCAGTGAGGTGGTTAAAGTGCTGGATTCCCACATAGCCAACCACCGTTTGAGTCCCAGACTTGGTGGCTTGAAAATCACATGGGGGGGGGGGGGGGAAGTAGAAGGACACATGGAGGGTAAAGGCGCTGGACTCCCATGTGGCCGACCACAGTTTGAATCCTGGATTTGGTGGCTTGCTTTCCTTCCCTTTCTCTCTGGTTCTCTCTGATCAAATTCCAGAATAATCGTAATAATAATAATAAATAAAGCTAAATAAAAAATAATTCTTTAAAAAACAAAAAATAAAGAAAATCACACTGGGTGTACATGCATGCCCCAAATCCTAGGAAGAGGAAGAAGAAGAGATTACAGTATGGCCATACCCCCAAAGGGTAAATTCTCACTTTCCTTCTCATTGTCTTTCTGGCAAGTACATGCACCCTTTAAAAAAAAAAAGAAGAAGAGGGAGAAGGAGAAAAATATAGCAAGTTTGGACCTAGAGACACCTCAGGTTTTATTTAGGTTTTTTTGGAGAGGTTTTTGTTATAGGGCACATGTACTCGCCAGAAAGACAAGAGAGAGAGAGACAGAAAGCAAGAAATCACCCCCCCCCAGGGGGATAGCCATGCCGCAATCCCTTCTCCTCCATTCTCCTATCGGGATCTTGGGCCCGCACGCACACGCCCAGTGTGAGTTTAAGCCACCAGGTCCAGAACTTGAACTATGGTCGACTACATAGGAGTCCAGTGACAGCCATTACGCCAACTACTGGTCCTAGCATCTCAGTTGTTAGTGGAAAAGTTGCAGCACCACCTTCAGCATAGCCACGGGCTGAATGGAGGCCCTTGATTCCCCGAGGTCTCTCTAAATGCTGATAGTTAGACCTAAGTTAGAAGCTGATGGTGTCCAATGGGCAGGAGCAGTCATCCAGCCCCAGTGATAACTCTGGAAGGCCACCTGCAGTAAGGGATGATCAGCACAATGGGCAGTATTCCTAACCAGACAAGTCACATTTTTATTGATTCTTGGGCTGATGCCACTGGCCTAGCCATCTGGCATGCCACTTAGAAAACAAAATACTGAGAGATTAAAGACAAAAAAGTGTGGGAACACATCATGGCTACCTGCTGGCAGGAGTCCAGAGTATGTAGGTGTCATGGTAAGGGCTACTACTCTGGTAAGACTGGAAACAAGCTGCTCATCAAGCCTGCACCTCCACATTGCTGCCACAGCACCTGGTTCATCAATGCACAGGCATGGCAACATTTACCATCATGGTTAGGCCACCAGTGCTTCTGAACCAGAAGTGACCACTGCATACTAGACTGACTTCTGTCAAAAGCTGGTCCACTGGGACCGGCAGTTAGCGTAATGGCTATGTCGCTGGACTCCCACGTAGTCGACCGCGGTTCGAGTCCCGGACCCGGTGGCTTAAAACTCACGCAGGGCGCGTGTGCGTGTGTGCCCAGGATCCCGAGAGGAGAATGGAGGAGAAGGGATTGCGGTGTGGCCATCCCCCCTGGGGGGTGATTTCTCGCTTTCTGTCTCTCTTTCTCTCTCTGTCTCTCTCTGTTTGTCTGGCGAGCGCACGCGCCCTATGGCAAAAACCTCTCCAAAAAAAAAAAAAAAAAAAAAGCTGGTCCACTTGTGCTATAGTAAAGGAAGCTACCTTGCACAGGGCAGTGAACTTGACTGCTCAGATCCCCAGGTCAGCCTGAAAACACACCAGGTGCCGGGGCCAACAAATGGCATGGTGGTTAACGGTGCTGGACACCCTTAACCATGGCCACCTGAGGTTCAAGTCTCGGACCTGGTGGCTTGCTTTATCACTTTCCCTCTCTCTAGTCCCAGACCTGGCAGCTCGCTTTCTCTCTCATCAAATTATAACAAAATTTAAAAAAATAATTCTTAAAAAAAAAAAATGCCAGGTGCCTGCACACATACCCCAAGATCCTGATGAGCTGGAGGACTGCAGGAAGGGGATCACAGAATAAGGAGACCCTGTCAAGGGTGCTTCTCTCTCTCTCTCTGTCTCTCTCTCTCTCTTGCTCTCTCTCACTCTTTCTCGTACACATATGCATGCTCTTTATCATGAATAAAAACTTTTGTTTTAAAATCACCTCCTGGGGCCAGCAGGTAGTGTGGCGGTTAAGGACTAGATCCCACAGAGCCAATTTCAGGTTCAAGTCTTGGACCTGGTGGCTTGAACTCACTCCAGGCACATATGCACATGGGCCCAAAATCCCTAGAGGAGAATAGAGGACAAAGGACTTTGGCACAGCCATCCTCTGGGGGGTGATTTTTCACTTTCCCTTGCTCTCTCTCTGTCTCTGTTCTCTCTGGCAAAGTGCACATACCATATAGCAAAAGCTAAGAAATACCTCCTTTTGGCCACCAACTGGGTAATGATCAGGGATAAGGGGTAGAGAACTATATAAACCTATTTTTTAATTTGAGATTTTCCCCCTGACCATTCCTGGACATGATCTGTCCTTTCCTCTGACAAAACCCCAGATCAGCAGGGTGTGAGGGGTGGGGGGGGAAGGTTCATGGAATTCATACTTCTAGTTCAGTCACTGGGATTGTCTGGTTGGAATGGCATGTACCTACAGCACAAAGATAATGGCCACCTGGTGGAGTACACTGCTTCTCAAGTCCGTATGTGTCCAGGTGAGAGACACAATGAGGTCTCTGTCAACTTCCTAATAAAGCCCTTGGTAAAGGTCTGGATATTACTAGGGGATACTCAGAGAAAAGGTGAAGTTGTGGCAGTAGAGGGGAAGAAACAACCTGAGCACCTGGAGAAGGAACACATTAGACCCCCGGAGATGTAAACGGAAGGGAAGCAATTAATGCTCTCATCATCCTTTCCGGCCAGCACCAAAGCCTGGCTAAACACTCCTGCACTCCTCTAAGTGAAGAAAAGCGGTAGCTAACAATCTGCTGATTTTGCTGTCATGCTATGAAAAGAAAAACTCAGAGGACATAACCAATCTTGAATTTTCAGACATGCCTGAAGACACACCACCAACTCCCAAACACGGACCTCCCTTGTATGTGTGCAAAGGCATAGATAAGCATGACCTTCTATTAGTCTGACTAATACAAATCACATGGTTCTCCTGACCTTGGGAACTTAGACTACACTTTACATAGGGCAGGCTTGCTTACTATAAAACAGTGGATTTCCCCAAGCGTGTCATTCTTTTGCTTCTCTGCAACCCACTGTGTATGGAGCATTCATTTGAGTCCACAGACCAGGTGGGACTTGCAGGGCAATGGAAACTGACTCCAACATACAAATATTCATCCTGCTTCCTAGTCCTTTGTCTCTAACTGAAGAGTCTCATATCTTCTGCCAGCAGACACAAAACAATAAATAATAGGCTAATTTACTAATTTCAACCCTGTTTATTTGCTTGCTTTCTGGTCAAGGAGTCCACTTAGGATATTCTCTATACAAACTTTCTCCTAATTGACACACACAGGCACACACAAAAAACGAACATTTACTGGCCAATTTAACCATTTCCAGTTTGTAGAAAACTTTTCTTCCTTCTAGCTGGAAACAAGATTTTTTTTTTCCAAATTTATTTATTCTCTGACAGAGATAGAAACAGAGAGACAAAGAGATACAGCATGCCAGACAGGGTCCCAATGCTGAGATCCATCTCCAACTTCAGTCAGGCTGGATAAGAGCACACGTACACCTGCTGTACTCCAGGATGTCTCTGGATGCAAATCAGTACCTTTCCCATGTGGGTTTGCCTTGTAGACGCTGTTTTACCCACGCACCATCAACAGGCCCTCCAAATAATTTTTAAGCTTCTCTAATGAAATTTGAGCATGTCTCAACTAGCATAAATTGTACAAAATAAAACCTTTAGGAAAATAAATCTCTTCTCACAGGGCAATTCCAGACCTGCTTCTTGGAAACTCTTGTCACCATCCCTGGACACCCCAATTATCCCTGCTTTATAGGATGAAAGTAACCATTTAGAAATTCCCCTCTCTGCTGATGCCTGAAAATCCTACAGATTAGGAACCAGGCCTTGGGAAATTCTGCACCAAGAATGTCCGGTTCTCTAAGGAGAGTTCAATGCACCTTTAAAGAGCCAGGTGAGACAGTCCAGCATAAACCTGGAAGACTTAGGACACTTCCTCAGATCCTGAGAATCTCGTGGTCCCTACTAGAGCAAAACGAGACTCAGAGACTGCATCTCGCCAGAGGTCAACCACCAGAAACCTCAGTTTCCCCTACACCACGGCCCCCACCCCTTCTCCTGTGAACCCCGCCCCCTCCGTGCCCCCGGGCCAATCAGAGGGCTGCGTCCCTCCCCCCGGTTGCCATGGTGTCTGTCGAGTCCCTCCTGCCCCTCC